AATCTTAGGTCAGCAAAGAAAAATTTTATTTTATAGTTACTTTTTATTAAATAGTAACAATTAATATAAATATTTATATACATGTGACAGAATCACAATGTTAAGTGACAAAGTAGAAGGCGATTTTCCTTACCATTTTCCTTTCTATATAGGGTGTTGAACTATTTTTGTTTGTTTTTGTTACTATTTATTCATTCATTAAATTTAATTATTCTAATAAAATAGTATAGTAAAAAAGAAATCATATTCTCAGAAATTAGGCTATCCTAGAAGTAGCGTAACGGAGAATATTAGGAACGATAGATTCATTCATTCCACAGATTCGACAAGAAAATTTAGAAAAACATACTTTGTATCTAGGTTTCAAGCAATTAGAGCATAAACTATTTTTTTCCATATGCTCGAGTATTTTTTGTACTTCTCATTTTCAGAAAAACTGGGCAATTGTTAAAATTTTGGTAAGAAAGTGCTGACACATCCTCCCCATTTTTTCACATAAAGAACACTTTTTTGTTTGTTGTATTTCTATTAATCAAGAAAGTTTTCGCTTTAGGGTTGTAACTTAAATCTTTTAGTCGCCAAATCTGGAAATAGGAAATCGTTGATCCTGATGGTCCTGATCAGGACAATGGAAAAAAATTAGTTAATTATTATATTGTCATCGGTCCTCGACACAAGTGTGGAAACTTTCAAATTAATCTCTTTTTTTAAAGTGGGTAAAAATCGAGCCCAAAGATTCCATTACATACATGTGAAGCTAATAAAAACGTGTTAAGAAGACCCTTTTTTTTGTATATAACTAAGCATAATACTTAATAATGTGCGAAAATGGGAGAATTTAATTTAATTTTTAATTTTAAAGTTTTCACACTATTTTTTATTTTTTATAATTGTGGAACACAAAAAACTCTAAATATTCGCTTTTTATAAATACACTCTACATGCTATGAAGAATATTTCATACGTCTTAAAAGAATTTCTCTTACATTTACAAAAAAAATTCGGGTTCGTACCTCTTTTTCGAACGATTAGGATTATTCGTGTGTGTGCATACTATATACACACACAGTTTGAAGCATGGTATAATACTAAGTCTTACTTTGAAAAGGGGACAGAAATAATACCGACTTTTTTGGATTATCTTTCGATTTTCATTTCTTCTCCAGCAACCAATTGCACATTGCCCTATCATTCCCTGTTATTTATAGAATATTTTGAAGAATCTAAATTCCAGCTTTCAATGAAAAATTCCCACTTTCACCTCAAAGAATATCCTGAATGAGAAATATTTCAGTACCGTGGACAAAGTGCATCTCTTAAAAATACTAGAGCTAATAATAATCACTAAGAGAATTAAAAATGTGTGCAAATTAAAGATAGAAATAAGAAAATATCAGTACCTACACACAGCGTACGAGCAAACCGTTTGTAGCCAGGCTTCGGTAACCTGTACGGTGTAAGGGAAAACCAGTTAAGGTGTTCAAAAAAGACATGTTGTAAGATTGTTAAACATCTGTTAATCAGTATTTTAAAATTTCGAATGACCTAGTACATAATAATTCGCTAAGCTTCGGAACAAAGAGTGTGTAATTTCTAACTATGGAAATTTTTTGTCTAGAGTTTCTTATTACAGAATTGCCAAAAGATTAAGTGCAAAAAATTTGTATTTTTTAATCCTGATATTACGAACAACCTCGAATTAATAAATAAAATATTCGGTCGCGCTTAATTCATTGAATCGGGGGCCGATAGAAATGTTATCGTAGAACATAGTTAAGAATTATGAAAGTGTACGGACCACATAAGCATAGGTGAAATTTTATTAAATACCGTAAAGTCCGGCGTATAGCACGCACATTTAACACAAAAAATAACATCAAAATTTAAGGGTGTGCGTTACACGCCACCGCGGATATAAAAACGATTGTTTTAAAAATAATAAAAAAATTCTTTGCTGCTACACATATCGAAATACTATTTGCCGTATTTACTCGAATCTAAGCCCCACTTTTTCTCCAGTATTAAAGCTAATGAAAACCGGGTGGGGCTTAGAATCGAACTAAAAAAATGAGTTGGATGGAGCAATTAAAGGTTCTAAACTTTTTTACACTATTTTTCATTTTCCACAAAGACTTGTTGATAATTTGGGGGTGCGGTTTAGATTTGAGTAAATACGGTATTTAAAAGAAATGGTATACCGTATGAGCTAAAAGAGTTGTAGTTCTAGAAGCAGTGGCGCACGCAAGGGGTCCTCGGATCCAGTACCCCCCAAAGACCTTCATATTTTTTTCGATTGATTATAATATGTATACAGTCGTAAAATTTAATTAAGGGGACCTGGTACGATTTATACAAAAAATTTTCATTTAATGATTTTCATAATTTTTTTTTTGTTGCCTTCTTTGTGTATGTATGATGTAAAACAGATTTTGTGCACAAAATTTTATAAAAAGCTAATCATTTAATTTTTTAATGGAAAACTTGAAACTTATGGAGTAATTTCAAAATGCTACTCCTACTACAAAAATTGATGTACATATTTGAAATTTGATTTATACATGTACATTAAACTATGTGCAGCAAAAGTTGGTATGGGTTTTGCGATAACATGATTATAGTATTCGTACAATGCTTCTTTGTATGAATGCTTATTGAAAATTCCTTAAAAAAATGAGTAAATTCTAAATTCAATTATTTTTAAAAAAATAAGTATTGCTTTGATCGAAAAATGCGTACCAACTTTTGTTTCTTGTACTATTAGCTACAAGCGAAAAAAAATTCCAAGTATTAGGTTGAATAGAAAAAAAAGCCTTAGCATTTTAAATGAAGACAAACTAGTTATTTTATCTTTCCGAGATAAGTCAGTTTGAAGTTTTGATTTGCCATTGGAATGCGAATAAAAAAACCAAAAAAGTTATCATAACTCTGCGTTTTTTAAACTTAGAGCTTTCAAATTTTGTGAGTTTGTAGAAAACTATATAAAAAATAGTTTAAGCTAAAAAAATTAAATTTTATTTTTGGACCGATTTTTGTCAATTGAATCGTACTGTGTCCTCTTAAGTATTTGATTTATATAATTAATTTTATTAACTTATGCTAATTATTTAATCAATACTTAATATTTTACTGCTTTTTGTTCCCGAAAATCGACAAAATCAAAAGAATATGTTGGTCGGCGTATTAAAGCATGATACGAGAATGGTGGATTTTCGACTCTGCCCCCGCTTGAAAAATTCCTGTGTGAGCCACTGTCCAGTAGTATTCTATTTTGTCAATAGTCTGGGATAATACCCTGAATAAATTACTTCAAAACATAAGAACATTGTACACTAATATTTAAAATTTCTTCGTACAAAAGGGGGTGCGATATATACGGTGAATATACCTGAAAATTAGAAACCGCAACTTGAAAGTAAAGGTACGCGTTATTCTTCATATTTTATGGTAAGTAAAAATTAAAATAGCCACAAAAAAATATTCTTTTCTCGGACACTACACTTCTTCCTCTCTCCTCAACACGTGTAAAGGAAATAGACGAGGAAAAAGCAAATAAAAATCTTCTGAAATAAAAACATAAAAATCGTCGTCCTCTGTTTGCTCACGTCATCACGTAGCTTCCATTCAGTATCAATGGTACACGATTCCCGCCCTCTACTATACGAAAAGGCGAGAGCGACAATTAGAGGTCAATGATTCAATAAACCGCTTTGTTCCGTTCTTTCGTGACACGTGCCACAACTTCCTCCCAATTTCGAATTCTTTTTATAACACCCTTTTGATTCTAATCGTCTGCGGACATAGTAGCTCGTTTCGAAAGACGCCACTTTCCCGGGTTGGGGGTGGAGAGACCGGAAGCGTGGGTGAAGGGGGTGATCTGACGTTAATGAAGAGACACAGGATGTGGTCACTGAATACTTGACCGCCTCTGGCATCCGTCTTGGTTTATATTTGTCTTTGAGATTACGCCGACAGAACAGGGATTCAGTGGAACTGGAAGTTTCTTGCCGGAAGTTCGGGGATTTTCCCGCGCTTTTTCTCTTTTTGGTGATGAAATTCCATATTTTCCGATTTCTGCTGTGCAGAAATTCTTAAATTCTGGGAAATTACTCAAATGTCGTAAATTTTTTTAAAAAATTATTCTTACATAAATTAGAATTTTCTACAGGATTCCTTTATTTTCCGAGAAATATATTTTAAATTTCATTATTCTATTTTAGCTTATATCCTGGATTTAAAGATCATCTTATCGAATATTAAGAGAAACTATTTAAAATGAAAGTATCTTCTTCTTAAAAATATCAATAAACAAGTAATAATTCAATAACAAGTAATAAATAAGAATTTTTTTTTATTTTAGTTACATTTTATTAAATAATTACAATTAATAAACAGTAAAATCCGGCGTATAACGCGCACTGGTGTGTAATGCGTACCTATACTTTGAAGCTGGATTTTTTAATTTTAAGGCACATTCACGCGCCGTATAACGCGCGCCCCCTTTTTTACGAAGGAACCTATGTACGTTAGCAATGCTATTATGTTTTAAACCATTTATTCGAAGCTTTGCCTCAGGATTTTGAAAAAATGCTATATTTCTAGAAAAATAATCCCGTTAAGTTCATAAGGTATCACATTTCTTTTAAATAGACAATATTCCGATCTTTGTAGAAGTCTTAAGGGGTTTTTTTTATGCTTATCTCGTTTTATATTTTTAAAGTTCACATTTTTATACCCGGTGTATAGCGCGCACCCGTAGATTTCGATCTTATTTTTTGTGTTCAAAGTGCACGTTATACGCCGGATTTTACAGTAAATATGTTTATACATATGGCAGAATCGCAATATTTAAGTGGCAAAATAGAAAATGATTTTTTTTGCAATTTTCCTTTCTATGTATGATGTTGGACTATTATATTTGTTTGTTACTATTTATTCATTAATTAAATTAAATTGCTCCAATAAAATAGAAAATTAAAAGGGATCATTCTCAGATATTATGCCATCTCAGGTGGGATTCGAACCCACGGTCTTTGGATTAGGAGTCCAACGCGTTTTCTATTGCGTGACAGGGACACAGCGAGCGATTTTCCTTTTTATGTAAGTGGTGGACAAAAAATTTTGTTTGTTACTATTCATTCATTAATTAAATAAAATTAATGAATTAATATTTGAAAAAACTGTATTAACATCAAGTGTCATCCACTACAAGTTCGAGTGAATGAATAAAAAGTATTTTATTAACGATTGAAAATGTGAACAAAATATATATCTAAATAAATATGTTTAGAAAGAGTGTGAACTAACAGTAGGAATTGAAAAATAACTCTCACGCATATTTTTTTCACTATTATTCTGTCCTAATGATTATTTTAAATATAAATAAAAGGGGTATATAGATATTAGATCCCTAAATTTGGCAAGAACTGGCTTATTGTTCTTTGATTCGAGCAGAGCTCAAAGGATTTTCGAATTCTGTTATTGAGATACGTAACCTTTCTATTAATAAAAGATTCAGAATATTATCCACTAAATATATATATATATATATATATATACCTTAGGATTTCGTTCAATATTATAAACAGAAGGGAGAAGATTGGCTAGCTATAAAACTAGTTCTAACCTTACAAAGCCGACCTCAGTATGCTGTGCTTATAGACTTAGCAGCGTCCCTCATTTTTATATTCAAATTTTTAATTATTCACTCTTATATGTGTAGTATCCAAATTTTTAGCGTCTCTCACTTCGAATATATATATAGATACGCAGATGCATGTAAAATTTGTAAGAGTTGAAAATTTGTACAATCACGTAAAAAGGTGTAGCAACAAACAGAACGCGCACCTGGCACATGACAGTGATTACAGCATCTGTGAGACACTATAAAAGTGTCGCGGAGAGAATGATTACCATTTGTAACTTTGAATGATGACTTTTTGTCCAGGAGTAAGCATAGCGTTGCAGTTTCTTCAAGTGTCGTGCGATGTCCCAAAGAATAGAACGTAGTCAATTTAGTGTGTCTTGTTTGTTAGCGAAATTCCATAAAACTAGCTGAGTAAACAGAAATTCCGAAGTGGACATCGACATAAGTCAATTTGCGATACATATCTTGTTCATCTATCACTCAGGTACAGTGGATGCCGAACTATACAAAGACATTCTTCAAAGGATTATAATACAGATAAGGAATACTCCATTACCCCATGTATCACTGAGTGCTTTTTCCAGTATGAGACTGTGCCATGCCATAGAGAAGTGCTTCGCAAACTTTCAGTATTCGCGACCCAATTTTCAGTCATAATTTTCATCGCGCCACCTCATACAATAACAATGTATTGAAAGCAATAATAATATACTTTGACTCTAAAGCTGCAATACGGCTTTAATTATAAAGCGTACAAATTATTAAGGTAAGTATTAAATTTCATATATAATTTTATGGGATGCGCATAGGGCCACCGGTAATTATTAAATTTGTTAACTTAAAACTGTTAAATTAATTATGAAACACATTGTGTAATAGTGATATATTTTTAGGTGTTTTATATCAATGCAAATGTGTATTTTTTTTTGTTATGTTAGAATGAATTTTGTTATGCTTACTTTCAGTAAATTAATAATTTTTTAAAATAATTTTTTGTTTTCGAATTTTCTATATACTCGCCCCACCCCCAGTAGATTTATCACGCCCCCTAGGGGGGCGCGTCCCACAGTTTGAGAAACACTGCCATAGAGCGAAAGCGGAAGTAACGTAACAATGCACATAGTTACACTGCACATTTTGCTTAACTCTGTATGCTGAAGTTAACATGTCTCTGAGAACATTTTGTTTGCTGTTCTTATCTTCATGTCCCTTTTCCATATCCATAGGGAAAAAAGGAGCTGCAGAATCTTAACATCACAACCTTAAAATGTCTAGTAACAACAGTCCGTCTTAAATCTAGTTGAAAACATGAGGAAAAAGATGAATCGGAAAGTGTTGAACAAGAAATCTGGATACTGACGCACAGGACTGTATTTAACCTCCTTGGCGCCCTAGGCACTTCAAATTGTTACCCCCTCCACACACACTATTTCCAGAGCACATCCTCCTTCTGTTCTTACCTTGTCAGTTTTGATTTGAGAGAAATTTTCCTTAACTCTATTACTCTTTTCCCTTTCTTTGTTTTTGTTCTTTGGATAGTCTTGTCACAATATCCACCAACTATTAACCTGCAGTGTCCCGGACAGGCCACTGGTAGCATAAGGAAAGGACAGCGCCATGGTTTGACCACTCTTGTTCATTTTTTACCTTACGACATCACGGACTATCAATATTTTGTAAATTAGTACAATAAATTTATGAAACCATTTACAATTATAGTATAGAATAGTGCTCCGCGATCTTTTTATCGCTGCGGACCGGTCAACGTTTGATAATTTTACCGCGGCCCGTTGAGGGTGGGACACGTTGATTTTTATATTTTAGATTGTTTTGATTTAACAATTTTAATTTAGCTACATTTAAATATGCCTTCAGAATAAAATATAGTTACACCAAAAATGAATAAAAGTGATTTAAAGTGGAATATAAAGTGATTTCCGTGAAAAGTTGCGCAAATCCGAGAGAAATGCACCACTTTAAATAAAATCGCAATAGTTTAATGTTCTTTAGGCCGCCCGGCACCATTTGATCTACGGACCGGGGATTGCGGATCACTGCCGTATATGATGAATTTTATGTATGCAAGCAAGACTTTTTCAAAAGAACAACTCTAATCTCCGTACATGATTTTAACAAAATCATGCCTTTGTTAAAAAAACAATTCAAGTAGAAAAAAAATTAAAAAATATTTTTTAAAGAATGCTTTTTAGAATTTTGATTTTTACGAAGGTTTGTAACAAAACAATTGTTAGAGAGTATGAAGAACAATCAAAATGTTCAGGAGATGTTTTATCTAGTTTGTTAGTAAATGCAATTTAAAAGAATAACGTAATGTATAAGAGATATATAAATAAAAAAAGAATGAATAAGCAAATTCACATGTCAGAATAATAATGGTATGCAAAACAGCTTATGCGAAAAAAGTGTTCTAAAGCTGATATTTTTCTTTTAAATTTTTGAATTTTACCACCATATGCAGTTTCTAATTTTTTTTAAAATTCTAATTATTACTAATGGCTAAATTTCGTTCTGTTCTTTTCTTTTCCAGCACTAGTGGGTCTTTTGAAAATCCAATACTTTTCAAGGAATGAGGTCTTGTAAGATATTTAAGTACAAGAGGAACAGTATATATAAAAACAATCTGAATCTAACTGCAACTGATACGGCACAAATGCAGCTGCCTAGGTGAAAACATGGCAGTTAAAATAATAAGGGTCGAAAAAAACATCCCAATTTTTCGCTCAAACTAGAAGGATAACATCTGCTTCGCAAATTACTGTTGATTTTAAAAAACGATTACAGTAAACATGTTTACCATTAGATATAGGCGCACCGCAAATGATAATTTTAACCCCTAAAAGGTAATTTCGGGGATCAAGAGTTAATTCTGACACACATCTGTTCCCTTCTCCCCCCCCTTCATCATTTAGGGAGAAAAAATAACAGTTGTGCAAAACATAGTTTTTTTCCCTTTCCTTTGTAGTGATGCAATGCCCGTTTTTTATGGATTAACAGTTTTTTCACCGTTAAGGCTTAAGATCTTAAGGTATCCGACTACGTTCGGAACCGTGATTTTAAAAAAGCGCATAAATGGATAATTTTCAGGATATTTAGTGTCACTTAGATTAGAACACATGTATAAAATTGTTTTAAGGACATTTTGACAAAAAAAAAATGTATTTAAGTACAAAACATTTCGGCAAAAAATTAACTTAGAGAATAACTTTTTTTCCAAATGTTCTTCTCTTATAAAAATGCTTCTAAAATAATAATATTTTGCTTATATAAAGTAAAGACTTCTCCAGAGAGTCTGAATATCCTAGCAGCAATTCTAGGAAAAGCAATATCCCCCTAGATGTAAATATACGAGAAAGAAACTCCATAGGATTAACATTAGGCTCGAGATTTCGTGGTGTCGTGTCAAAGGGAGCCTTAAGACTCGTAGATGATTTTCCAGTTACAATAACTGCTGGTCAGCGATTATTATTGTGCTGATATTGCGAAAAATGTAAAAAAGAGCTGCACGAAATTAAACAGATAAATTAATGTAAGATTCTATAAGACATTGTAAGGCACATGCATTTTTGTAACAGTATAAAAGATTCTTTAAACTTGTCAGATTTCTAGCCTTTTTATTTCTTATACACATAGCAGTGATTCTCAACCGCTGTGCCGTGGCACTTTTGTGTACCGCCAAATTTTTTTTTAAATTATTAATTGTACTCTGTGAAAAAATAATAAAATCCGGAAACAAATCATTCGGTCATTTTATAGAAATAAACTAAATGTATTCGTGATATATTTAACTTATGTATCTCATGGTGGATAGATGAACATAAAAAAATTTGATTGGGTTCTCATCCGTTTGTGATAACGGATATATCTGTATATGAACAGGAAAAATTTATATTTTGAACTGTAATAATCGAGATTTAATTTCTAAACATTTGGAAGAGGCAATTAATTTATTTTGGATTAAAAACAGAAGTGATTATCGCAAAATAGGTAAAAATGCTTTAAAAGTATTGTTACAGGTTTCTATATCATATTTGTAAGTATTCGGATTTTCAGCATTAACAAATATAAAAATGAAAAAAAGATAGAGACTATTAAATGTAGATGATGAAAGGAAAGTGGCATTATCATCTTTTAGGACCCAATATAAACTAAATTATCAAAAATCATCCCGCTCAAATTCCCATTAAAGGTATTCTTAAAACTAATTTGTACTTAAGTACTCAATAACCATTTTTTGTTTAACATAAAAAATTATTATCATAAACTATTTTACATAGTGTATTTATAGATAAGTAAAAGGGTGTTAAATTTTTCTAGAGGTCTGAAAATATAAACGATTTTCAAACGGGTATAATTCCTTTAAATTTAAATTAAATGATTCGAATCTTTTACACATTATTTATAATAGAAT